AGGAGGAGGAGGAGGAGGAGGAGGAGGAGGAGGAGGAGGAGGAGGAGGAGGAGGAGGGAGGAGGAGGAGGAGGAGGAGGAGGAGGAGGAGGAGGAGGAGGAGGAGGAGGAGGCACCGCCTCCCCCAGACCCCTTCGTGTCACGGAGAAGGCATGACGGATTTTGTTGCTGTTCCTATATTCGGGGGCCCGGGGCCTTCGCCAGGCTCCAGGGCCCTGGAGAAATGATCGGGGATGAAGAACGGTCCCCAGGAAGGGGTCCAGACCTCGAGGGATCCACGACATGACAAGTCGCGATGTCGCGCGTCTGGGCGTGGAGATCGAGCATCGAGGAGGAGGGAGGACCCAGGGTCGAGGAGTTTTGGACGTTGTCAGTCGTTTTTGAGAGTTCGTGGGGGTTCTGGGGCCAGGGTTGGGGTGGAACGATAGAGGGGGACCAGCTCAAGGGGGGGAGCATCGACCCGGAATCGGCGACGCATCGCAGATAGCTCGGCGATAGCCCCCCGCAGCAAATCCGCACGTTCACGGGCGGGGTGGACCATCGGGCCCCTATCGGCGATTCATGGGCGATTGGGGGTCGGAATCGATGCGTTCCCGTTTTTTTGAGCCTATCTCCCCCTACAGTCGAGGCGCTGAAGAAGGAACCCTTTTCGTTGGGGAGGGTCTCGGTGTTCCTTGATTGTTTCACAGCTTGCCTCAGGTTTTCCTTATGTTTTCGATGGGAAATCGAAGTTTAACTTGTGGAAAAACGGGGCCTCGTTCCTTATTTAGGGTTCCTTAGGTCAACGCCCCGACTGTATGCTGCTTGCCCCCTAAGGGTGTGGTCCGCTTTCTGGCTGGAGGAAGTGGCGGCTCCCTCCGTGGTGACTCCCCTACGGGCGCCGTGTGGCGGGCCGGAGCTCGAGCCCAAGTCTCTCCGACGATGTGCTTTGTTTGAACCCCAGCTCGGCTCCAAATTCCCCATGAGATCTGGGCGTTGCAGTTTGATCTCTCTGGCTTTTTGCCCATTTTCGGGCCACGGGACGGGGCTCGCACGGATCGATCCGGCTCGAGAAGTGCCGCAGGACGACGGGGTCGAGGGCTCAAGTGGTGATTTCGAGCGACGTGGTTTTAGTGTTACGTTGGATCTCAAGGTCTGGACCCTTCCGGGATACGGTTGGGAACTTTTGTATAGCGTGTCGCTCCGCCGGTTCTGGACCACCACGCCTCGGCGCGACACGCTATCCACGTTTTGGTCCCCGAACGTCCACGTCCCGAGATTTCCCGAGCCTCCCGCCCCGCGGAGCGAAGCGACACGCTATCCGCTCGCAAGGCATGGCGTGTCGCCGGGGCCGCCGTGGCTACACGCCAGGACAAGGCTAGGACGAGGACATATCCGTTCAAGAGCGTTCCAGAACGCTCTCAGGAGCGTGCTGGAACGTTCTGAGAAGGCCACGGCGCCCGAGACATCCTCCAGAGCCGCTGGATCTCAGAGAGTCTCGGTTTATCCCCGCCTGCTTCTATCCTCGGCCTGGCTTCGGCTTACGTCCGCAGAGAGTCCTTCCCACGCGCCAGGCTGTCCCTAAAGAGGGGTCCGGCGGGTTTTTTTCGAGGGTCGTCCACACGGCGCGCCCTCGCTGCCCCGCCCTCCCCTCTCGCGCCCTGCGGTCCGCAGCAGGCGCCCGCCTTGCACCACGAGCATGCTTGGCCAGGACCATCCTGGGCCCCAGGACGGCGTTCGAGCAGGAGGTCGATGACAGAATTGACTTGCCCCGAACTTGCTTTTCCGTAGAAGCTGCGAACACACGTAGCATGCGCCGGATCATTCTGCGCACTTGCTTGTGGGTCTGACGAACAGTCAATCCCGGAGCACATCAGCTCTGCAGTCGATCTCCCGCTCGAGGTGTACACGGCCAGGAACCTGGTGATCGCGTGGCGCTCCGCCGGTCCTGGTCCACCACGCTTCGGCGCGGCGCGCTCTCCACGTCCTGGCCTTATGTCGGGCCTGTCCCCCATACAGGGGGATTTTCGACGAAAAATAGAAAATACCCCACAAATAGTCAAAAAATACTACAAAAATTGTCTGGGGACTATTTTTTGAGCATTTTTTGACCTTTTGGGGCATTTTTGGGGTATTTTTATTTTTTCGTTGAAAACTCCCCTGTAGGGGGACACGCCCGACATTCGGGGGAGCGTAAGACCTGGGTTTGCCAGGACTCGGGTTCGCCATCGTTTTTTGACGACCGCGCCTCGAATTTTGACGAGGAGGAGTTTCGTGGGATGTCTGCAGCGGAAGGCCTCGTCAAAACGCAGGCTCGGCCTCGTCATTTTTTGACGACCTCGTCGGGGATTTCCGAGTCCCCTGTACCCAGGTCTTACGCCCCCCTGAGACATACTCCTGGCCCCCGAGCGTCCACGCCCCGCGCCTTTCCGAGCCTCCTGCCCTGCGGAGCGCAGCGGCGCGCCATCCTCCTGCGGGGCACCGCGCGTCGCCGGCGCCGCGGCCGCGAATCTCGCGGAGCAGGGAGCTCCCGACCGCATCCGCGGCGGGGATCCTCCTCCTCCTCCCCCTCCTCCTCCTCCTCCTCCTCCTCCTCCTCCTCCTCCTCCTCCTCCTCCTCCTCCTCCTCCTCCTCCTCCTCCTCCCCCTCCCCCTCCTCCCCCTCCTCCTCCTCCTCCTCTCCATGACCACCGCCTGGGGGAGCGGCCTTCGGGGGCCTCGGCACAGGCGGTGGACCTGGGCAGTCCTTCGGGCGCCCTGGGGGCCAGCCCAGGTCCATGTCCACCGTCAGTGAAGTGCCAGGGCGCGAGCTCTGCAGGCGGCGGGTGTGGACAACTCCCGCCTCGCGGTGCTCGGCGGCGAGCGAGGGGGGAAAGTGGGAAGGATCAGGCCTCCTCAGAAGGCGGCGGGACTTCTCAGAAGCCCTCGCACCTTTCTGAGAAGGTTTTTGTGTCCTCGAAGGCTTAGAGAACTTCTCAGAAGGCCGGGGGACTTCCGAGCCTTTGGGAAGGCCCGCCCCTTCTCGCTTCCCCCCCCTCGCTCGCCGCCGACGCGGAGGTCCTCCTAGCCTGGGCCAGTGGGGCGTATAGGCACCGTGCCGGGGCCCCCGGAGGGCCCTGGCCTGTCGCGAGGCCCCCCCCCCCCCGTGTGGGGGCCCTGCCCTCTCCCGCTCGGCGGCAGCCGAGCTCCGCCAGGCGCAAGTCGGCCATGCTGAACTCGATGCCCCCCCCCCCCCCCCCCCGTGTGGGGGCCCTGCCCTCTCCCGCTCGGCGGCAGCCGAGCTCGGCCAGGCGCAAGTCGGCCAGGCTGAACTCGGCCAGGCTGCTCTCGGCCAGGCCCTGCGGCTAGCCTCGGCGCTCGGTGATTCGGCACCCCAAGCGGGGTCGCTCGGGACGGATCTCCTCCAGGTTCTCAGCCCCCGCCAGTGCTTTGCTTCAGGAGGTTCCGACCCGCAGTGGCCACGAGGGGTTCCCGCGCAGTTGCCTCCCCTGGCGGTCCGCCCCTTCCCCGATCTCGCCGATTACCACCGCTCTCCCTCTCTGGCTCTACTCGGCACCGGCACCGCCAGCGCAGCTCTCATTCGCTCTCTCTCTCTCTCTCTTTCTCTATCTCCCTCTACCTGTTTCTCACGGTTTCTCGTGTGAGCTGATGCTCCTGATGCTCGCCTCTCTGCCTGTCTGCCAGTCTGCCTCTCTGCCTCTCTGCTTGTCTGTCTGTGTGTCTGTGTTTATGTGTGTGTGTCAGCCAGCCAGTCAGTCACTCAGTCTGTCTGTTTGTCTGTCTGTCTGTCAGTCAGTCAGTCAGTCAGTCTGTCTGTCTGTCTGTCAGTCAGTCTGTCAGTCAGTCAGTCAGTCAGTCAGTCTGTCTGTCTGTCTGTCTGTCTGTCTGTCTGTCTGTCTGTCTGTCTGTCTCTCTCTCTCTCTCTCTCTCTCTCCCTGTCCCCCGTGCCTCTCTGCCGGTCCCTCTTTGTGTGTGTGTGTGTGTGCGTGCGCGTGTGTGCGTGCGCGTGTGTGCGCGTGCGTGCCTCTCTCCCCCCCTCTCTCTCTCCCTCCTCTGCCCTCCCCCCCCGCCCTCCCCCCCCGAGCGCGAGCCTGCCGCGCGCGCACCCCCTCCTGCGCCCCCCGCTCCCCGCCGCCGCAGGGCCACTCTGGCTCGGCCGAGGGCCCCGCCGGGCCGCCGGGCGGGGCGCGCCTCTCCACGCGGGCGGAGGCCGGCGCCTCGCGTCGGGGCGGCGCGAGGCTCTGGTTTTTGCCAGCTGCGGGCAGCACTCTGTGTTGTGTCGGGCGTGTCCCCCTCACAGGGGGATTGTCGACGAAAGATATCAAAGAATACCCTCAAAAATACCCCCCAAAAAATCGAAAATATGCGAAAAATAGTCCCCAGACTATTTTTTCATTATTTTTGGACTCTTTTGGGTTTTTTTTGTCGAAACTCCCCCTGTAGGGGGACACGCCCGGCATAACACTCGTGCCCCCATCCACTGCGTCTTGGAGGTTGGAGCTCCCTTCCCCAGGCGGCCAGAGGCGCAGTGGGTATGGATGCAGTTCTGACCCCGATATATAGGCTAGGGCTGGACTCGCCATATCCACTGCTCCTCGGCCTTTAGCGCCACCTCCCAGCAGGTCCAAGCTGCAGTGGATGTGGGTACCAATCATGCCCGCACCAGAAGTCCTCGAGATCCGGGTGGCGCAATTTTTCACGCTCGGCGTTTTCGGCCGGGTTTCGGGCCCCGGAGCCATCACGGATCGATCCGGCTCGAGAAATGCTAACCAGGAAGAGGGGTCCAGGGGGATCCGGTCGTGTTTTTGCGATGCTGCCTTTTGTGGCAGCGTCGGATCTCAGAGAAGGCTCGGGTTCGCCACAGCTCGGGTCTGCCGCCGCTCTTCGACGACTCCGGCGTTAGCTCTCACGGCCCAGTTTTCGTGGGGCGTGTGCGGCGGAGGCCCGCATCAGATTTTATACAGAAGTCCCACAGTTTGTCCGAGGCCCCGCCGGGCAACGTCCTAGTCCGCGAGACTCGAGTCGCACGTCTCCCCGACTGGCGTGCATCTGCGGCATGGCGGAGGCCCGCTCCTCCGTGGTGGCCCCGCCTGGGTTTTTCGACCCGTTCTCGCCCGCGGAGGCGGCGGCCAAGGATCCGAGTAGGGGAACGATTGCAGAGTGGATTTGCACCCGAAGTGATCTGTTCGCCTATGAGAAACGCGTAGAGTGTTCGTAGATCTACGAACATCCTACGTGTGACTCGGCGAACAGTCGACTTTGGGGCACGTGGATTCTGCAGTCGGCCCCCTACTCGCAGGATGCCATCGACGCGATCGTCTCGAGGGGTGGGAAGATGCTGTGCCCCAGTCGAAGAAAACGAGCTGCACAAGTACAGTCGGGGCCCTGAAGAAGGAACCCTTTTCGTTGGGGAGGGGCTCCGCATTCCTTAAGAGTGTTCCTCCTTTTGCCTCAGGGTTTCCTTATGTTTTCGATGGGAAGTCGAAGGTCAACTGATGGAAAACAGGGGCCTCGTTCCTTATTTTAGGGTTCCTCAGGTCAACGCCCCGAGTGTACCAGCGTTCGGAGGTCCGCACGGATTTCTCTCTCGGGGACCGGGGCGGGGCCCCGCTGTCGCGCCTCTTTCCGGCGCCGCCTGCTGGCGCGCTCCGCGCGGACCTCCGAAGGTTGATGTTTATGCCTTCTCGTTCCTCAGACCCTTCGTTCGATGCTCGTTTCGGGGACCTTCCTGGAGCCCACCTGACGGATCTGTTCGACCCCAGTTCGATTCAAGTTCGACTCAAGTTCGACTCAAGTTTGACTCAGGTTCGACTCAGGTTCGACTCAGGGTCGACCCAACTCGACTGACGTTCGACGCAGCTTCGACGCACGAGTGGAGCGAGTGGCTCCAGGAAGGTCCCCAGAACGAGCATCCAACCTTCGGGTAGGGGATCGGCTACAGAATTAATTTCCCTCCGATATTTTTCCGTCACATCCATGAACATATGACGTCCTTCTTCAGCTTTGGCGAACCGCAGTTTTGAGGCACATCGATTTTGTGGTCGATCCTCTACTCGAACCCTGCGTCACCAAAAGAGCCGCGACGGCTGCTTTTTCCCAAGACGTCCAACATGTTGTTCTTTTTCGCGACGCAGCTCACCAGAGGTTGGCACCCCTTCTGGGGAGGGCCTGCTCTTCATTCTGAGTCGTGATCTTACGGTCCTGGCGCCAGGGGGTGGTCTTTGGAAGCCGGAAAATTGTCCCAAACCTTCCGTCGTGTTTTTTCGCGACGCCAGGATGTCTGGGTCTGCAGCTTGGGCCCGTAGGGGCCAGTTCCGGGCCCCATAGCCGTCGACAGGAAAGCCTAAGTGCGAGCAACCGAGCCGCTGGAAGGGTTGAGAGCCCTGGGGGCGCACGGTGCGGGAAAGTCTTGACGTCGGACGCTCAGGTACGACGCCAACATGGAGAGGCGCTCGTACCCGTTCTCGGTCGAGACCACCTCCCAGCAGCTGGTCGCCGAGCTCAGGATGTGCTACGTGCCGTGCGACCCTGGCGAAGACCGCCTGCAGCCGTGCCGCCGAACGGCGCCCGAGCTGGACGGCGCGGACGCCGACGGTGTGGGCGCGGAGCTCGACGGGTGGGCGCTGGAGCCGGAGCCGGCGCGCATCCGCATCGACACGTGGGCGAGGGCGGTGGTCCCGGTCCGGAAGAGGATCGTCCCGAGGCAGGGAGCGGACCGGGGGCGGCAAAGAGGGAGGCGACGACTGGGGGTGCGTGGATAACATGGCGGGGGCCATGATGTCTCTCCGAGGAGGAAAACGTACCCATACCTCCGCCCTTCGCCCGTTTTCTCTTCATGGGCCTCCAGGGAGGCCCTCGTCGCCACTGCTGGATTCGCCTCGAAATCCTGGTCAGAACGCACCCCAGGAGAGGTCTGGGGAGTAGCGGTATCGGTACCTTTCGATCTCCCCAATCTCCGCAGATTTCATGGCGCCACTTCTTGTTTCAATATGTTCCGGCCCCCCCCTGGGCCGCGCACATGCCGCCGGACATGATTTGCGCCCTCCTCTTGGACGGCCCCCTCTTGGACGCCCCCGAGTGAAGAACCATCGATGCTTCCCAGGCTTGAGTCGGCCACGCTTCTCTGCAGGAGGCATCTTCTAGAGCAGCAAGAACAGTCGACTGGTTACGATGTTTCGTTTTCTCTTCTGACTATGTCTGAGATTGGTTGACGATTCGTGACTTTTCCTCCACCATCCGCCTGTTTGAAAGCGAGGCTCGACCCCATCCCAGGCCGCGAGTCAGCCCAGCGTCTGCTTGCCCCGCTCCGCTCCCCCGGGGGGCGCGCAGCCCCGTGTTGACCCTCGTTGCACCCCCTGCGTCGCACTGGGAGGGCCTCGGCGGACAGGCGCGCGGTGGCGCCAGCACGCGTTCTGAGGGTAGGAGATCACCTACAGGATCGATCTGCCCCTGAATTGCTTGTTCCCCCGCGAATCTATGACAGATGTGTAGACGTGTCGTAGATGAACGTAGAACTATCGTATATAATTTGTAGATTCCCAAAAAGTGTTCTTCCCCAGCGAATCTACGACAGATGCGTAGAACCGTCGTAGATTAGCGTAGAAATGCCGTCGACGATTCGTAGCTTCGACGAGAGATTCAATCTTGGGGTCATGCACTTCTGAAGTCGATCTCCTACTCGAGTTCTGAGGGTACATCGAACATAGGAAGCCGCACGTGGAGGCCCGCAGGCAGTTTTTCCGATCTTCTCCGCCGTCGCCCCTCGGAGGAGGAAAGGGGAACCCATACCGGTTACCCTTCCCTCCCTTTTGCATTCTGTTGGGCCTGCTGGGGGGCCCTTGTCGCCACCGCTGGGTTCGCCTCGAAATCCTGGTCAGAACGCACCCCTGGAGTGGCCCAGGGAGCAGCGGTGGGTATTGATACCTGTTGGCTTCCCCAGCCACGACCCCTCCCAGGGGTGTGGAGAGGGGGGCCGTGGCGGCGGCGGAGAAGCGGTGCCGCAGACGTCCCGAGCTCGTGCTGATGTGACTTCTTGGCCGCCCCGAGGCAGGAGGCCGACCAGCCCAAGACGGGCCGTCGGCAGAACGCCAACCACCTGGGAGTCACCAGCAGCCGGCCCTCCTCCCGGGCGGGGGTGATGACGGCCACCCGCTCGATGCCCACCCGCTCGGTGACCGGCTCCGTGGCCCCCTCTCCGGTGAGCGCAGCCGCCACCGACCGGGACGACAAGGGTGCCGGAGGCGCCCGCGCGTGCGTGGGGCAGTCGGGTCCGCCAGGAATCCCGCCCCCCTCCCGCTCACTGCACCTTCGCGCCCCCCCCCCCACCCTCCCGTCGTCAGTCTGGCGCCCACCTTCTCTCGCGAGCACCGGTCTGGCTGCCGCCCGCCGCGTGCACCAGCCCGACGCCCCCACATGCGGGAGGGGCGCCAGACGGGCGGACCCCCCGATGTCCAGCGTCGTTGCGGATTGCAACATGGCTCTCCAAAGGTCTGGATCCCTTCATCCAGGGCCGGTTTCTCACCCAGAGCCAGTTTCTGATGGTCCCAGGGCCTTGCCTTCGCAGAGTGGCCTGGAGGGATTGAGGGAGGCGGCGGGAGGGAGGCGGAAGGAAGGAGGCAGAGGGATGGAGGCAGAAAGAGGGAGGCGGAGGGAAGGAAGCGGAGGAAGGCAAGAGGAAAGAGGGATGAGGAGGGAGGGAGGGAAGAGGAAGGACGAAGGATGAAGGAGAGGAGAGAGGCGGAGGGAGGGCGGCGGAGGGAGAGCTGCGGAGGGAAGGAGGAGGGAGGAGGGAGAAATCAGCGACAGCGGTGGACTTGGGAGCTTCACTGGCTTGTCATACTGAAGTGCCACAATCGGCGCCTGCGGCGGGCTTTAGATTTATCCAGCTGCTGCCTGCGGCGAACCCCGCGGCCGTGCTTGTGCAACAGCGTAGCAGGACGGATTTTGAATTCGTAACGCTTTGCGTATCCCCACCAGCCTCTGGAATGCCGCTGCGTGCATTCGCTAATTGCACTCCGGCGTTGGCTTTTGGCCCGCTGGCAATTATCTTGCGTGCCTTCCCATGCTCGATACGACCCGCTCTCTGGAATCGTCCTTGGAGCCGCAGATCAAAAAAGTATCCCCACCAGGTTCACGTTTGCGCTGACACGATGCAGTTGTGTCGCCTACGGCACGGACGTCGTCCGGGTGTGCCTGTCGGTCCTCCTGCTCGTCTCTGACGGTGCCTTGTGCCGATTCACACCGAGTGATTGACCTCTGCGTGTTTATGGTCGCGCCGCCGCGCCAATTTGGCTGCGCTTACTCGATGGTCGCCACCGGGATCTCCACGCCTCCGGGTTGTGAGTTTCGTTTCTGGCTCTTCTTCTGAGTGGCCGCCCGCGCGCTCGCTTCTCTTGCCTCCTTTTTCTTGCTGCCCAGTCGTGGCCTGGCTAGTGTTCGGACGGCTTTCGACTTGCTTCGCGAGCCCGCAGACCAAAAAGTATCCCCACCAGGACAATCCAGGAACGATGCCCAGGGTAGCTGCCCTTATCGGGGTAGCGTGGTACAATTTGAAGAGCTTGGGGAGCCTCCGTGGGCCAGAGGCTTCTTTGAAGCCTTTCGGAGTCTCTTGGGATGTCTCTCGGGCGCTTTTGGAGGCCTCTTGGGGCGTCTCGGGGGCCCCCTTGTGGCTCTTGGGAGCTTTCTGGGGTGCCTCGGGGACCTCTTGGACGCTTCTTGGGACGTCCTGGGGTCCTCGTGGCGGTCTTCAGAGCCTCTTGGTGCGTCTTGGGTGCCTCTTGGAGGCCTCTGGGGGCTTCTTGGGGGCCGCTTGGGGGGCCGCTTGGGGGCCTCCTGAGGGTTTCTTGGGGGCTTCTTTGGGGCCTCTTGGGGGCCTCTTGGGCCGATGTGTGGCCGTCTTGGGTGCCTCTTGGGCTGTCTTTAAGCTACCATGAGGGCATCTTGCGCGGTCGCAGCCCCAAGCTGACGAGAACCGCACAATCTGACTTTCAAGAAGTCGATTGCTTTTGCCTCCTCAGGCTTTCTCGTGGAACCCTCTTAGGCCGTCTTGGAGGCCTCTTGGGCTGTCTTGAAGTCTTGAAGCCATCTTGGAAGCCTCTCGAGCGGTCTTGGGCCATCTTGGGCCGTCTTGGTGTCATCTTCGCTGTATTGGAAGCCGTCTTGGAGGCCATCCTGGTCGTCTGGAGGCCGACAGACCCGCCAGAGAGAGATTTCAGAGGGGGCATTTTCCAAGGTTGCGAGCGGCCCTGGGTGGGGGCCGACCCTGGGAAACATTCAAAAACCTCACCAGCCAACATACGAAATTCTAACACGCCCTCTCCGTGCAGGCACGGCGGCGGATACTTTCATTGTGTCTCTTGACGGATTTACGCGGTGTCGGGTGGAGCAGCGCCAACCATTCTGCGGTCCAGCGGTGGCGATGGTCTCCAGCTGCGTGGAAACGCAGTGCTTCATACAAAACAGTCGACGCTGGTGGTGGGCTGCTGATTTCATTCTACGTTCCGAGCGACATAGCAATCGGCGCCCGCGGCCGGTTTTCATTGAAGTGTTGACTTACATGTTCTAATGCGTGCGCGTGGGGGGGGCGGCGCGATGTCGCGGGGCCCACGTCGAATCCTTTCGTAGCCCAGCTGGCGCTGATCTTGGGCCGTGCGGAAGTGCAGTGCTGAGCAGAAAATCGGCGCCTGCTGCAGGTTGCTGATTTGAATTGAAGTTGCGCTTGCAGCGAGCTTAAGCTGGAGTTTTTTCTTGACGAAGCGTTTTCATTCCCAGCCCTCCTGCGTTGGGTTCTCATTTCGAATAGAGCACTGCGGGCTCCATCTTCTTCCCGCCTCCCTCCTCCTCTCTCCGCCTATATCCCTTGGGGGTGCGATCTGCGAAACAGTCGCCACTTTCGAGGTCTGCTGGGGGGTCCAGCAACGTGACGTCCTTCGCAGATTCAGATTGGACCTCACCATCCCTGGGGGGGTGCGAACTGCGAAGCTGTCGTCACTTTCGAGGTTAGCTGGAGGGTCCAGCATCCTTCGCAGATTCAGATTGGACCTCACCGTCCCTGGGGGGGTGCGAACTGCGAAACTGTCGTCACTTTCGAAGGCTGCGGGGGGTCCAGCATAGTGACGTCCTACGCAGATCCATATCAGACCTCGCCATCCCTAGGGGGCCTGCGAACTGCGAAATTCTCGCCACTTTCGAGGGTTGCTGGTGGGTCCAGCATAGTGACGTCCTACGCAGATCCAGATTCGACCTGACCATCCCCAGGGGGGCTGCGACATGCGAAACTGTCGCCACTTTCGAGGGCTGCTGGGGGGTCCAGCGGAGTGGCGCCCCACGGCGGATCCAGACTAGACCTCGCCACCCCGTGGGGGCAGCGAGTTGCGAAATTGTCGTCACTTTCGAGGGCGGCTGGGCCCAGCGAATGACGTCGTCCGCGGCTTCAGATTCGCCGTCCCTGGGGGGCTGCGATCTGCGAAACTGTCGCCGCTCTCGGGGGGTTGCTGTGGGGTTCAGCGTAACTGCGTCCCACGCGTGCTCAGATTAGCTTGGTTTGGGCCGCCCGAAGACCTGGCGGCGCGCCTGCGGTTGTTTAGCCCCCGCACTGCAACGTGCAGGAAGGAAACTCGGCCTCGCTTGCGTCTTGTACTAGCTATAAGTAAGCAGCTGCTCCTTTGGAACGCCAGGCTGGCATGCCGCGGGCCGTGCTGCTTGCCCAGGTGCTACTGGAAAACGATCGCCGCCTCCAGCCTCATCCTGCCTCTTTCGTTGCCGTTGTCGTCCTCCTTCCGCCGTGTCGCAGCTTCTGCCGCGTTAGCGTTTCGCCTTCTCCATCCTTTTTCCTGTCCCTCGTTCCTGCCCCCATGTCCTCGTCTTTTTGTTGCTGTTCTGTGAGTAGTACAGCGCGCGTTTCATATGTGGGGTCGGAGTATCGTTCCGCCTCGGCGATGCATCGCTGGTGCATTGCCGACACATCGCCGATGCATCGTCGATGCATCGGCGACGTTTGCGAGGCGTCGGCGACGTCGGCGTGGAGGATGTCGGTCCCCACTTCGAGCCGCATCGCCGATGCAGCGGCGATGCGGCGCGATCCTCCGACCCCATCTGTTCAGTACTCGTCCAGGAGGCCTCTGTCCTGGGACCGGGTCTGGTGCTGCGGCGGCCCTCCGTGGCGGCGCCCCCGCCGCTGCCAGGGCGCGGCCGTGGACGGTGGCGCCTCAGGGGGCACTCGACGCGGTGAGCAGCGGCCGAGGCGGCGGTCGCACCCGCCGCTGGGTGCAGGCGCGGGTGGGCCTCTCGGCCGCGTTTTTTTCCCAGGCCGCCTGTCGTTTTCGCAGCTGGTTCTCGTGGGCCCTCCTGTTTTCCCAGCTGGTGTTCCTTGTCTGTGGGCCCCTCGGCCGCCTTTTTTTTCCCAGGCCGTCCGTCGTTTTCCCAGCTGTTCTCTTGGGCTCTCCTGTTTTCCCAGCTGTTTTTTCTTATCTGTGGCGATCCTCGCAGCCCGGTCCTCCCCCCCGGCCTCCGCGACCACAGCCAGCGCACGTTCCCAATCCGATCCGATGTTTCTCGACTCGATGCTGGCTGCTCATATCATGCGGATACTCGCGCCGCGTTGACGCGGCGGCGAGTCCAGCGCGGGCGTTCAAGGTTGAGCGCTGCCAGCTGCCCAGAGTCATCAGATATCGAGCGATCTGCACTGTCGAGGAGCCGTGAACGTTCGAGGTTGAACGATCCACGCGGTGTGAGAAACCAGCGCCGACGTTACTGCAACTTGAGCCCTCGTTGGCGGGGCACGACCATATCCACGGCCCGGCGGTACTGGACTCCTCGGCCGCGAACCCACCGATGCAGGACGGCTTTTGTTGGTCGGGCTCCCGGTGCCGAATGCATCCATGGAATCGCCTACCCGTGGGATCCCGCCCTGGTGTTCAGCCCGCGGGTGCATGGGTCTGGGCACGTTCGTCGCTCGCGGGACCCGCCGTGCTGCGCCGTGCAGCGTTCCGTCACGCCTCCCCGGAGGCGAGAGGCGGGAGAGCTCCACGCACCAGCCGATCCCGCTCGAGTGCGAGCAGGAAGAGGACGAGGAGGACCACGGGCCGGCCCCCGGGTGCCCCCGGCTCGGTCGGCTCGGCTGCTTCGCAGGCGGCTGCGGTCGGTCTGTTTGGGTCGGTTCGGTCGGCTGCCTCGCCGCTGCTCCATCCTGGACAGCTTCCCGAAGATCCCAAGCTGCTGACGAAAATGCAACATCGCGTGCGAACAATTTCGACCGAAGCCCTAATCCCAATCTTCCTGTGGCATTTCCCAGGCCGGATCGATCCGTGAGGGTCCCAGGGCCCGAAACCAGGCAAACCTGCCCGTTGTGGAAAAATGCGACGCCAGGATCTCAGGGCAGGCATCTCTCGGTCCGTCGGTTTCGGTTTCGCTGTCGGCTCGGTCGGTCTTCGCTCACGGCGCCGCTGTGGACGTCTATATGCCGGCAGCCTGCTCGCCACCGGAGACCCCCAGCTCGCCTTGGCCAAAGGAGGGTCGCGCTGCATCGTCGATGCTCTGACGATGCGGCCCGGATCCCGATTTTCTCCATCACGACGTCGCCCTTGCATCGCCGACGCGTCGGCGATGCGGTGTGGTTCTCCGAGCCTATCTGCTGTGGCCCCATTCGGGAGGCTTCAGTTGCCACCCTCAGAGTTATCGATCCCTTCCTGGGACCTGTTGTTCAATTCCGTTGTTCCGTGCAGCCCTTGGGGCCCCGTGAGGGCCCCCAGATGCCAGAAATTGCCAGAAACCTCGCGTCTACATTTTATCACGACGCGAAGGGGTTTGGGCTGGGCCCTGTGAGAGGAGATGCGCATCCGCGAAATGAAGGAGCGGGAGACGAAGAGGAAGGCGGACGACGAGGTGCGGGTGAAGAAGAAGGTCGCGGAGGACTCCCAGGAGGCGGCCCGCCTGGCGCAGCTTCAGGACCAGCCGCGAAAGCAGCGTGTCCAAGTCAGCAAGAGGCAGCGAGCAAACAGACTGACCCCAGAGGAGAAACAGTGCATAGGTATGTGCTTGTATATGTACACGTGTACGTGAATATGTACATGTTGGTGTGCGTCGTTGTATATACATATACTGATCTATGTATGTGTATGATATATCGAGTATAGAATTATGTTCAGATCTACGATGTTTATACACATGTATGTATAGGTATGCCAATGATCGCTTGAATCGGAAGATGCCTACGATCGTGTGTGCGCATGCATCTGCTTGTATATAGATGTGTGCATATGTTTGTGTCTGTATATACGTACGTTTGTGCATGTAAGTGTATATGTATAGGTGTATATGTGTATGTATATCTGTATATATGGGGTCTATACATGGTTGATAACGCGGATGTATCTGTTTATGAATGTGTACACGTGTTTTGTGCAGAGACATGCATATATATACATCTATATGTATAGATAAACACACATATATATATATATACAAGACTGCAGTGGCGCTTCGCGCCATGCACCTTGGTCCTTGAAGTTTGGTATGCAGGCGGAATGGCAGGAAGGTCAAGCCGACAATTTAGCGATAACTCCTGGTTGCCTTTTTCCGGCATCGCCGCTATAATGATGTTTTTCGTTATCCTTCCTCCATGGTTATTGTTCTTTATTTTCGCCATACCCTGCGCATTCTCCCCATCTTCCTCAGCTCTTTTTTGCGGAGGCTCCTCCTTGGAGAGCCTCTAGGGGCCTCACAAAAGTTGTTTCGGGCTTTCTTAAGGCCTTCCGGAGGCCTCCTGGGCGTATTCTGGGGGCCTCCAGGGGTTTCCTCGGGCCACCCTGCCTCCAACCGCCGTCTCCCTGAACGACCGAATCACGATTTGGAATTCTTCGGAGGGTGTCTTTGGGCCATCTTGGGTCGCCATGGGGCTCTCTGAGGGCCATCTTGGACCCGTGTTGTGCCGTTTTGGGGCTTTCTTGGACTGCCTGGAAGCCCTTTCGGATGGTTGTGGGGCGATTTGGGAACCTCCCAGGCGGCTTCGGACGCCCAGAAGACCGCCGTCTTGGAGCGTCGGGAAGCCGAAAAGAGGAGAACCCCACAATTCACCAAAAACCCACAGAAAATCAATGATTTTTGCCTCGGGGGGCCTTCTTGGGAGTGCTCTTGGATGCCTCTTTGGGGCCGTCCTGGAGGCCTCTTGGGCCATCTTGAAGTCACGTCGGTCACTCTTGGAGCGCTCTTGTGCTGTCTTGGGGGTCTCTGGGACGTCTCCGATGACCCCCCTGATCGCCCTAAGTGTGCTGGGAAGGCTTGGCAAAACGCCTTGCGAGGCCCGGTGGCCGCTTCAAAGCCCGTCTGGAGGGCCCCAAAGCCCCAGGTCCCGGGAGTCCGGTTTTGGGGGGGGGGGACGGGTTTTCCCCCCGCCCGGGCTTATAAAAATATAGGAAGAGGAATAAATTCACAGTCGGCCCCACCTCTGTGATGTACCAGACGCTTTTTGTTTGTTTCGCTCTCTGTATCTCTTTTTCCCTCTCTCTCTCTTTCTCTCTCTCTTTTTTTGTCTCTCTCTCTCTCTGGCCCCCCGCGCCCAGCTGGGGCCTCTCAGAGGGGAAAGTGGAGGCGGCGCTGGGGGGGAGAGGCGCCGACACGCAGCGAAAACATTGAACACAGCACGCTTTTTTTCGTCGGCGGCATGGCAGAGGCAGTCCGCACCAGCGTGGGGCTAATCGTGGCAACCGATGGGCAAATTGTCCGGCGTGCAAGACAGATCCATGGAGAAAGAGAGAGAGAGACAGAGAGAGAGAGAGAGAGAGACGAAGACGAGGGCGGCATGAAACTCACACGCGCGTAAGGAAAACATGAAATGCATAGCACCCAGGCGCAACAAACAACGAAATCAAGACCTCGACTGTTTCTTGACGGAGCACTCAACAAAACCTAAGGTTCCCCAACGCTTTCCGTTTGGAACATTATTTGCATACTCAACCATCCTGTGGTGTTGGGTCCTCGTTTTGAAGAGACAGCGCCCCGCGTTCTTCCTTCCTCCCTCCCTCCTCCGCCCTCTCCCTCCTGCAATCCTCATCATCATCCTTATCACTATCATTATCATCATCACCATCACCATCATCATCTTCATCATCACCATCAGCGTCATCATCACAATCATGCCATCATCATCGACATCATCATCATCATCATCATCATCATCACCATCATCATCATCATCATCATCATCATCATCATCATCATCTTCATCTTCATCTTCATCTTCATCTTCATCTTCATCTTCATCTTCATCTTCATCTTCATCATCATCATCATCATCAACATCATCATCAAACCCTTCCGTAGCCATTTTGGCTCAGGCTCGAAACGTTCCCCTGGCGCTTCGACCTTGGTCGCAGCCGACGGGGAGCTCGAGCTGCTTTGGGAGGCACAGGGCCTTCCCGACTGCTTTCACCGACTCCCAATCAGTGACCCTTCAGTGGGTGGGAGTCATCCTTCTCGGATTCAGTATCGCCGCAGAAATTTCCTTTCCAGTGCACGCCAAATTGTGCGCAGGCCGCTCCGCCATGGCGCTCGACACGTCCCAATCGCAGTTCGAACAGCTGATGGGCAAAATGGGCGAAATCCAGAGTTCCTTGGCCATCCACGACAATGCGCTAAACACGGTCACAAGCGAGATCACCAACATAAAGGCCTCTATGAACATCACATACCAGGAGCACCAAGCCAAGTTCGAGACCCTCACAGCCAACATCGCCGCCATCGCCCAGGGCCAGCCGATCGACGTCGAGATGAATAGCACTAGTATCCAGTTGAATTCAAGGGTTGAGACTATGCAGCAGACGATCTCCGAACTTCGACAACAGATGGAGTCTCGCTCGTCGTCTGGTGCCTCAGGGTCTACGCGTGCATCCTCGTCCCCTGCTGCTGCTCCTGCTTCTTCAGCTGTCGAGGACTCCAATCCCAAGCGTCGATGGGTTCAGGGATTTGGTCGCCCCCTTCTTCGAGGTGGGCGTACAAAGCACTGGGATACTCTTTGCGCTCGCCTCCCGCATGACCTACAGGAAGGAGCTGATCCTCAATTCGCAGGTATCGCCATGAGCTATTCTGTTGAGTTCACATCGGAGGGGCTAGCCCAAATATTTACCACGTTCTGCAACGATAAGTCTTATATCGTCGCCTTCTATGACACGCGCCGCAAGAAGACGCTGTCTATTCGTGTTCGAGGGGATACGCCGCGGGCCGTTCGTGAAGTCCAACGCCTGTTCTCGCCGCTATGGGTTGCCACTCTCAACATTCTGAAGCAAAAAGGCGGCTGGTCCGAGGAGTTCAAGCTCGGTGCCAACGGCTACCGCAAGGACCTCAACATCACCTCCGCCAATGAAGTGTGGGTTCTGTTCCACATGAAGGTCGATGCCAAGGGCGTCGTGGAGTACGTTCCCAACATGTCCGACCTCGCGGAGCGGGGTATCTCTGAGGACGAAGCGCGCAACCTCATCAAAGCCGCAGAGGAGTCTGCCTCGCGGCCATCTTCCTTCCTCTGACGGGGTATCGATCCAGTGCAGCAGTCCAGCACATCTTCGGCGTCGTCTTCCTCGTCTTCTGATTCTGGCTCCTCCTCTTCCGCCTCTTCTTCCTCTTCCTCCGACGACTCGAGTTGCGATTCCAGCTCTCTCGACACTGCCAGCGCTAGTGCGCGAGCTGGTGGGCTTTCACAATTTGCTTTCCTCCCCTCTGTGCACCTCCCTGCCTGCACGTGGAATATACACACGCTTTTTGGACACCTTCAGGGATCTAGAAGTGCGCAGAGCCTTAAGTTCAGTAGACTTACCTACCTCATTCAAAGACATCATATTCTATGTTTACAAGAGACTCATGGACACATAGGCGATGAAGATTCTATCAAGCGTGCAGTTCCCGGCGTTGAAGTCCTTTCCAACTACCACCGCTCTGCTGCATCTGGAGGTTCCATTGTTATAATTCACAAGCGTTTGCTCGAGCTCTTTGGTCATATCGCGCACGACATTATCGTAACTGGTCGCATCCACTCTGTTCTACTCTCAGGCGCGCATGGCTCCCTCCTCATCTCTAACATCCACCTCTGCCCGCAAGCCCCCGCTTCGAGAAAAAAACAGCTCTCCCTTCTTGCGTCCTTAATGCCCCCGCCCGGCAAATGCACAGTGCTCCTTCTCGGCGGCTTTAGTTTCTATGAAGTTGGAGAAGGCCGATGCAAATTTGCAGCTGATCGAGAACACTTTCCTCCCAGCTCTCTTGGCAAGTTCTTTACTCAGAGGTTTAGCAGTTTCGCTGAGTGCTACCAGGCTAACCCCACGCATGCCGCATGTGAAGGTTCCGATCTTGTGTCTGTGGGTCGTCTTGATCGTATTTACATTAGCATGTACACCACTGACTTTATCGACATGCATGCCAGGGCCAGCTCGCAGTGGTTTATCTTTGATTCTAGTCAGCCAAGCGATCACTGCCCAGTTTATGTTTCGTTTTCACCGCAAGAACAGGCCGCGAGGCCGGCCATCCCATCATGGGTTAGCAAGCGTCCGCTCTTTAACGAAGTCCTCGTGCAGCTCACTCAAGATCACGACCTCTCTGAAGGCGTTTTCGAAAGGATCAGGGAAATCAGAGCTCTCATGTTTGAAGCAGGCAAATCTGTGAAACAAGCGGTGCTCCCTCCACCCCCCCGGTTCGCGGGCGGAAACCTTGGCGTGGGCGTTCGCGGTGAACCGTGCCATGAAACGCCAAGACTCGAGGGCCGTCCTTTCTGCCATTCATGCTGTCCCCGAGATTGGAACGTTCATCAGCGCAGCGCCGTTGATGTGGCTGGACAAGCCCGCCTTCCACAGCTTTTCTGCCGCCCACGGTCGTGCTCTCACGGAAGAGCAGCTCGATGAGGTTGAGAATGATAATCGCGCCTATGCTTTTACCAAAGCTACCCGCAAACAAAGGAGTGCCAGTCT